CCTGAGATAAATTCATTATGAAATCCAATAAGCTGTAAAAGCAAAAACAGAAAAGGCCAAAGGACACTGTCAAAGGCCTTATTAATGTCTAGACTTAGTAATAAGACTCCTTTGGAATGCAAATTAGCATCTTTTATGACAGTTAGAGTAAGTCGTATATTATCCGTAATGAGCCTATTTGGAATCAACCCCAATTGGTCAGGCAAAACTAAGGAAGAGATTATAGGGGCCAGTCTATCTGCCAAAATACAACTAAAAATCTTAAAATCATTATTTATAACAGAGACGGGTCTATAATTTTGCGGTAAAAGGTGATCTTTTAAGGGCTTGGACAACAAAGACATGTTAGCCAAGAGCATCTCATTAGGGAACCTATCCCCCTGTAAAACCTCATTAAACATCGCAACCAAATACAGGACAAGAAGGGGCAAAGCGTTTATAGTAGCTGGCTGAGAACCCATCTGGACCTTGGGCCCTGGACCATTTCAATGTATTAAATTACCCTAAGGACTTCCTCAAGCGTTCATGGGGCATTAAGAGCTGAGGCCTAAGAAGGAGTGAGAAAGGGGAGAGGTATAGAATCAAATAATGATTCAGCCGCAGGAGGAGTGACCGTATGGGGGGAACTAACAGAGACGATTAGAAATCTTTAAAAATATCCAAAACCTCATGGGGCAATGAGGAGATAGTACCTTTTTAATTACATAACTTGTATACATGAAGGGGATTAATTGATTGATCATGTTTGCATGCAAACATAGTAGAGGCCAAATTACTATGTACTTAAAAGGACGCCTTAGACCAACACAGTGCTTTCTCAATTTTCTGGGACAGTAGGGTATTCAGCTCAATGTGCTTTTGGGCTATCGTGTACTTATTCAGCAAGGACGGGTTACCGATATGAGTTCTATTATGAATTTCCAGCTCACTAGTAAGCGTCTGAATCTGCCACCAATGTGCTCTATTTCTAGTAGCCACCTTAGAAATAGGGTGGCTGAGAAGAAGCACCTTGTGCGCCACCCACAGCATAGCCGAAGAAGTGTCAGAAGCGTTATTTAGCTGACAATACTCCTGAATCGACATAGCTACTTCCTGACGAGAGTCGGGGTCTGTGTGCATAGAATCACTCAGATGCCAGAAGTAAGGGGTATCCGTTAGGCCTATAAAACTGATGGACAATGATACATTATGATCAGACCAAGAACACAGATGAATACCATCATTCGTGGAGTTGGCCAGGATAATCAGAGAGCAAGAAATATAATCAAATCTAATATAGGAATCGTGAGGATGGGAATAAAAAGTATAGTCCTTAGCCCCAACATTATGCATCCTCCAAGAATGCATCAATTGGAACAAATCTAGGCATTTGGTAAGGGATTTCGGGAAAGCTGGGGAGAGGATGAAGAGGTACTCATCTATCAACAGATTGGCTACCAGATTAAAGTCGACGCCCACCAACAAATGGAAGGGCAGATACTTGTCAAGAATGTTGAAAAAGTTTGAAAAAAGGTTGCCTGAGCCGAATTCGGGGCATAAACGTTAACTATCGTAAGTTTACTACCCAAGAGGGTGCCCTTGATAATAATGAACCTACTCTCCAGATCTTGGGAAACCTGCTGAACTTCTAAAGGAAAAGAATTGTGGAGGAAGATTACCACCCCCTTTCGTTTAGAGGAGTGCAATGTGTATAATATGCCTGTTTATATGATTTACAGTATGAAAGAATGTTAGGGCGTTTATCTACTGCAAAATGAGTCTCCTGTAAGAAAAGATTTTTCGCCCCTAGCCATTTGTACTGAAGGAATGCTGTCCTGCGTTTATGTGGTGAATGAAAACCCTGGACATTATGGGAGAGGCAATGGATCACCATTCTTGAAAAAAATATAAAAAATCCCATGATAACATTATTATACCAGGAATCATTAAGAAGGGATAAGTCAACCTGGGGGGTAGTAGAAAACCTAGCCCTGTACCCAAAGAAGTTAAATCTAACCTTCACGTTATTTTGCAATACACAAATCACACAGTCATAGTAAGGAGACCAATTACACCATGTATTACAATAGTCGTGTACCAAAAAAGAAAAAGAAATAGAGAAGCGAGGCCAAAGAAGCCCCTATAACTACAGTAATAGAAACAAACCATGGATCAGGTAGACAATTCGCCCCACCTGAAAAGACAGAAAAACCATATCCTCCAAATGACCCAAACCCGACAGCCAACAAACATGGAGATCAGAGTAACAACTCCACAAAACGACAATATCTCTGCTGACCCTGCGTGGCAACAAGATGGGGTAGCATGGCACCAGCCTCCATGGATCCAGCCTGCAAGCAAAAAATTAAAGACATTCGACTAATAAAGGTCAAATTCTGGACTTCAAGGGATAGAAGGAGTCAGCCCAAACATGACAGACTCCACCAGAAATAAAATACCAAGGACCTGTCCCACATAATAATCAGATGCGAGCCAAAAGAGCAGGTAGATAAGTTCACTGTCAGCCCGCCTCATGTCGAACCCTCCTCCTGTCACAACATGGGGATGGAGTGTTCCAAATAGGAGATATCCAAGGGGTTGAGGGTGGGCCCAGCTTCACCAATATTTCCTGACCTTCCAAAAGATTAGTGGCCAAGTACAAGCTTCCATTGTGGGGGATGATCAACTTAAAGGGAAAACCCCATTTATAGCAAATACGAGCCAAAGAGAGGGCCTCAGTGATCTCCCATCTTACGTCGCTTCTCCAAAGTGGCTTGGGAGACATCTGGGAACATTTAGAGAGGTGAACCCTCCAGGGATATTGCCGGGGTGTTACGAGCAGCCCTAAGAATGTCCTCCTTAACCAGGAAATCTTTCATGCACAGGACTACATCACAAGGGGGTACGTCTGCAGTAGGTTTGGGACGTAATGCTCTATGTATCCGATCACAAGCAAAAGCTTTAGAGTCCTGATCTGAGAGAAGGCATTTGAACAACTTAAGCATGGCCTGGGAAAGATCAGGAACCCCACTGACGTGAAGATTATTCCTGCAATTACGGTTCAAATCCTCCACTTGCCTGTAATTGACTAAAGGCAGAATGCAAAAGTTTGTGATCTCTGAAAAGTTCACCATGGGCCAAACTGAGTTCATCATGTTTAGTTTTTAAGCGATCTGTTCTGACCCCAAGTGCAGCTACCTCCTGGAAAAGGACATTAGTGCTCTTATGAAGCTCTGATAGAAAGCTATGTACACTAAATTAGCCGCTAAGTTTCAAAGTCCCCTTTTGTAAGCTGCTGAGAGTACTCATGGTCCTGTGCAGAAGGCAAGGCTGCTGTGTCCTGTGAGAAATGTGGAAGGGATGCACTGCTGGCACCATCTTGGGACATGCTGCACGGCTCCTGAATCCTCAGTAGATAGTAAGGGACTTTTGAGCTATCCCCTTACCTTTTTTCTTAGTGGACAGCATACACCAGGTGAGGGTGTTAGGCTTGCTGGTATGAGAATCGGGTGGTAGACAAACCCTGGAAAGCAGGCAATAGCAGAGGTGGAAGCGGAGCTCCTACAACATGCGGCTGTACTCTGGGAAGCAGCGCATGGGCCCCCCATAATCAAGATTAAAAGAAAGAAATGCTTGAAATGTATCACTCTGTGTGTAATGACTCTATATAATAGAAGAGCTTAACTTTTTTAATTGAAATACTGAAATAATTAAACTTTTTGATAATCTAATTTATTGAAATGCACCTGTACATACTGACCTATATTTCAAATGTATGATAGTCATATTTAGCTTAAAACGAGCCAACTAGAAATCACAATACCCTATAGCAAAAATTGTAATGAGCCCTCAACAGAAAAAAAAAAAAAAAAAACACATTTGTATAAAACCAAAATTACTGTGACAGGTGACAAAGGACATGAGGTGGCTAGATTATCGTTCACATTATATGATTGCCTACAGTCAGTACATCCTTATTACTGTAATGTGCTATGGCCAAGAATATGTACAGTACAACCCAGGTCACAGAGTGAAAGGATCAGGAGTGAGCAATTAAAAACCCAGAACAGAGTGCAGGGGACAGTGACAGAGTTCCATAGCTGGCTGTATGTAAAGTGCAGCTTCCCAGATTAGCTGATCACTGCTGTCACTTGTAAACAAACGGTAAAGATGAAGGCTTCCAACCTCACTTTGTCTGTCAGGCTCTCACTGGTGACTTTGGCTAATATAGAAGAAGCGAGTTGTGAAAGCATTCTTCGTCTAGCTCTTGCTTACAAGTGACAGCAGATGTCAGCTGAGCTGTCACTGCTTCTGCAGGTCCATAATGACTGAGGTCTGGATGAAGATTTAAACCCACAGCTCCTGATCCATGGACTCCTGCCCAAGGCCCACCCGGGGCCAAGCTCCATAGCAGCCATGTGGGCCGCTAGGGCAGCAGTTCCACCGCTGCTCTAACTTCATGTAAATTTAATCTCTATTCCATTTCTGCTTCAGCAGCAGAAAAAAAAAATCTAATGCCAGACATTCCTCAGCTGCATGCAGGTACTCTACTTTCCACAAAAAAAAAACAATACAGTCCTAAAAAAGGCCTTAGAAACAAAAAAAATATAACAATTGAAAACCCAACTGCAGACTTACAAGCAGCATGTATGTATATATATTTTTTTTTTTTTTTTACAAAATGGCTGGTAGTCCGTGATAATACAGACAACTGCTTTCTGTGAGTCCAGGGCATCCTAAGCCCACTCTCTGAGGGGTCATTACGCTATAATGATGTAGCCGCTCTCTATATTATTACATTGTGAGGCCCATGATGATGCCTTGCACTCACAGCAGGTCCTCGGTGGTGGAAAAGAAGAACTCGAGGTAATAACTCTGGATTGAAGGTGTGTATTGCAGCCTCAGATGCCTTTTTTCTGTACATGGACATTTTTTTTTTTAAAAAAAAAAAAAACAGGCTTGAGCTTTACCCTGAATGTTAAGGGACGCTAAATGTATTCAACTGTACAAACAAATCCTACCTGATCCATTAATTTGATTCCCATCAGCTCTTCTCCAACTCAGTTCAGGTATTGGGATTCCCATTGTACCACACCGTAGGAGAACAGTACTTCCAATGACTGTCTTGAGTTTGGCCACAGAAGTGTGAATTACGGGACTTTGACACTTGCGCAGTTCCACTTGACTAAATTGCACGCCTGCAAGGCTGCGAGGTGAAGAACACTTCAGGCGTGGTTCTATAAATGCCACAGCTGGGGATGGGAAGTTGAGGAAATGAACCATTTCATAAAGACTGCAGTCGCACAACCAAGGATTATCTTGCAAACCTGTAACGTTTTAGAAAATAAGTTAAAAGAATTATGGTTTGTTGAAGTTTGTACAATGACAACAGTACTTTAACCCTTTTGTGACCATTGACACTTAAATGCCCAGGCCAAATTAAGCAACATCAACGTATGTTAGTTAGCGTAACAATCACTCAATGACTAATGTGTAGACCCAAATAATTTACATATTTTTTTAAAGGACATTTATTTTTCACACAGTTTTAAGAAACACGGCTCTGTTTCTTCTACATGCTGAAAAATCAGCAAAAATGTACAAAAACATTTTATTTAGTTAGTATTAAGTAATTTTCACAGACACGTACACTAATAAGTAGATTGCTCTGTAGATCCCCCTACAACCTGAAGATGGCAAGGTTCATCTACAAGCTGGAGGCCTAGTTTCTCAAAGAAACCTCAAGCCTCAACTCCCTGTTGCATAAATGTGAATGAAATGAGTAAAAGATGGTTTCTGCTCCTGTTCTTCACTTGTAGATAAGTCCTCTGACACATTTTGCCCTTCTCTGGGCTAAAAAGTCATCTTTTACTTATTTCATTCACATGGAACAGGTAGTTGGTGTCTGTGTGCAGACGGCCACCATTTTTTTTGATAGTAACTGTGTAGTTACATACTGTAGTTGGTAAGGTTGTAGAAAGACACAAATCCATCCAGTTCAACATGCGATAGCATGCATGCTTGAGGCTACTTCTTGAGGCTTCTTTGAAAAAATAGGACTTCAGCCTGCAGATGAATCTTGCCATCTTCAACACATCGTACTGGAAAACGTTAATATACAGATTAGAAATGGGAAGGCGTTAACTTAAAAGAACATAAATTGCACACTCAGAATATTCTGTAGCTGTACAAATCTCCCATGATATGTCTCCTTTTGTTACATATTTGAGATTAGTGTTGGGCATGATGTTCAAGTCGAACATCAGCCATTTGTGTGTTTGGCAAACACACAAATGGTAAGGGCGTTCGCCGGGGCATTTGCCCATTGCGCCCCACAATGCACTGCAGGTGCAATGCTTTGGCCAATCACAGTGCATGATAATGTCACAAGGGGCAGGGGTGATCCCACCCCTTGTGACATCATTACAGTATTTAAGAACTGTTATCTTGGTGCAACTGTCAGACAGCTTTTTTTCTTTTTTCGGGTCAGAGATGGCATAGTAAATGACGTAGGATCTACTTTGGGGGGACATTTTTTTGTCATTTAAATTTTAATAAAGGATTTGTCAAAGATTGTCATTTTTTACACTACACTTTTTTTTGTTAATGAGTAGCAGTAACATGTACCCCATACTCACTAACATGGGGGAGAAGCCAGGATTTAGGGGGCTTCTAGATTCAGATAATCCCCCAGCCCGTAGACCCTCACAACCACCGGACCCCTGCCACAAAGCACTCCCCCATGTTGAGAACATGTGGCCTGGAATGGTTCGGGGAGGGGCACTCACTCATCCCCCTCACTTTCCTGACCAATTGGGCTGCATGTTCAGATAAGGGTCTGCTGTGGAATTTGGAGGGGAAAACCCCACGCCATTTATATTTTTAATTTTGGAATTGGGGTTCCTCTCAAAATCCATACCAGACTCAAAGGGCTTGGTATGGATTGGGGGGAAACCACACACGTTTTTGATTTTAGTTTCTAAATTACCAGGCAATGCTGGCAGTTCATTTTACATTCAATTGATAACGGGAAACCCCGGTGACAGCTGAAACATGAAAGAATGTTTTCGCTACTAAAATACCACATGACTTATTAATATAACTTGTGCTGTATTTTAGTAGCTGTGCAGTCTCTTACCACATTCTCAGATGTGGTAAGATACCGCTTAGTAAATTGTCCCCTCTGTTCGGTTCACGGTCGAACACTCATGAAAGTGTGACAGGGAACGTCAAATAGGGGGGTGTTCAGCCCATCGCTATTCTAGAATTTGTGAAGTATTACTGTGTTATTATAACATCAAAAGAACAAAAAAAAGGATAATTATGTGTGTTTGCAATTTTTCAACATATTCTGTTGGTGGGATATGTATAACTATTTACATATCTGCAGTCATATTGATTAGCACAACAATCAATAAAAATCAGACCTATGTTCTAATTCTGCCCCAATGGACACATTTTTTTTCAAGCGGTCTGTACCTCTCTTGGTGAAATTTCCTCTCCCTTCTTAACACTCAAAAAATAGGAAGTAACGTTAAAACAAGAACAATGACTACAATAAAAACTTTAAAAAAATGTAAACCCTTTAACACTCAAATAATAAAAATAAACACTGATTCGCTTTGGGGTTTAATGTTATGCAAATGTATTAGGAAGACTATACATAATTTATAGCGGGGCAATGACATCTTCGTTTTAATGGAATTATGTGGGATTTATTTTTAATTTGGGTTAATTGCAGCTATTAGAATAAACCACTATGGATAAGTACAAGTCTCAGCAGTGCACCAAACACATACAGCCTGCCTCTTGGCATTTTAAGTAGCCAAAAATTCAATAGGCGAAACATTAAATTTCAATAACCGATTGGTAAAGCACATGAGAAAATAGTTTATTGCTAAGTAATTTTAATGTTGGCAATCAATACTGAATCTAGATATGCATTGTTTAGCTTAGACACATAATGGATAAGGTTTTACTGGCCAAGAGTATGAAGGGTAGGTCTATTCAAATATGTTATTTCCATTTTAAGTGCATGTCTGCAGATCTATCTAGCTGCTGAAACTATCATAAGGATTTTCATTCCTGTTGCTGGACTGGGATCCTGTGGAGGGTTTTTTCGGCAACAAAATGTGTTCCTGGATATCCACAACAAGATGTTTAACAGCGTGAAGAGCCACTGCCTTCTTGACACCAACGTATTTGCCTCTGTAAGGAAATCTCAGTGAATCCCACACTCCTATAAAATTAATTTATTCTGCATCTGGAAGCCACAGATCAGAATAATTTATAACATCTCAGTCTTTATATATAAGATCTGTTTGTATTGTTTGATATTTATTTCACTTCTGTCTGAGGAATTCAGATCCTTTTGTTCACCATACAGTATATTTTAGGAGTGAAGATACTTATTACTAAACACTATATACAAACAACACTCCCAGTGACAACATGCAAAGCCTCCAAACTTGCAGAGACAACATGCAAAGCCTCCAAACTTGCAGAGATTGGGTTTACGAGTTCTTTTATTTAGACAGAGCAAGTATAAATCCATAGAATATACTGTACTGTAGGCACATTGAAAGAAATGTGTAGAAATGTAGAAAAAGAGCAGAAAATATAAAGCAATAAAAGCATGAAGATAAAATTGATAATTATAACAAAAATAATTCCTTTGCACTGCAAACTATAAGCAGTCTAACATAAAAAAAATTTTGCTGTCCTTTCCTAGTACAGACACACAGGGGAATTCCATAAAGTGCAAACAACACTCTTTGGGTGGTAAGGCCCTTTAAAACTGCCTTAAATATATGGGGCTCTGTTGATGTCAATCATGAACTAACATGTATACAAAATTAACCAAATCCTATTAAAAACATTGCATTTTTTTTGGGGCGCCCCCTTCCCCCAAAATATGAGATCCACTTTTTGCTTATTAGCGGTAATATTATCCACATTTTGAGATAGAATAGTTATAACTAGTTTTTCCTTACCTTCTTATTATATTCTATACATAAGACTTTGTTGGGGGAGTGGCTTGGATGTCACCCGAGATGGCTGCCTGACCTGCTTGCTCCGTCTCAGGGAGCACTGCTACTGCAAGGGACACCTGCTACACCAAACCTGGGTAAATCAGAGCGCAACTCACCCACTCCACGTCCCCGCTCCCCCCGGGACGTGGGCACCCAACTTGTCCGTAACATACCCGAGCTGTTCTGGACACAGCCATGGGAGGCGGTGGCTTCCGCTCCATGTGCAGACCAGGCCGTAAGCCCGACATAGAGCCAGCCCAGAGCGTCTTCTACACTGAGAGAGAAAAGGACAACCCTCTCAGTGGATTACTTGAGAGAGGTGGCAGCGGACGACTTGAGAGAGGTGGTAGCGGACATTAAGGAGACTTTGTTAGCTGCCATCTCTGATCTTAAACTTAACATTCAAGCTGTGGCCATGCTGCTAGAGGAAGTGGAGGGGACTGCGGTCTGCCATGAAGCAGCGATACATGAGGTAAGGGGCACTGCAGAGGTTCATACAGCTCACATCCGTTACTTTCATAGACATTTAGAGGACTTAGATAATAGGGGCAGACGCAACAATCTGAGGATTAGAGGGGTCCCGGAAACGGTAGAACCAACCCAGCTACCACATGTGATTTTAGTGATTCTAAACGATCTTGGATCAGTCGCCAGATACACCAGTTGAAATGGAACACCTACACAGAGCATTAGGTCACAGAAGTAGAGATACAGACCCTCCCAGGGATGTAATATGCTACATACAGGGGCGGTCTGACCATTTGGAAACTCGGGCACTGCCCGAGGGCCCGGGGTCAGTAGAGGGCCCCATGAGATGCCCCTGGTACCTTTTTCATAGGCTTTTTTGAGTTTGGGCAAGGACACAGGGGCCCCATAATCCCCTATTGCCCAGGGGGCCCCATGAGTTTTCAGTCCATCCCTGGCTACATAACCAGCTTTCACCTGAAAGAGGAGATTTTGCGGAGGGCACGGAACAGAGGCTGCATCACCTATCATGGAGCAGAGATAACATTATATCAAGACCTCTCACATATAACCCTGCAGCACAGAAAAGATCTACGCCCCCTATTTAAC